AAAAAAAACAAAAAAAAAACAGTGGCTGTCTTCACCACCCAGTGTAAATTTCATTGTAGTGAAATTCAAAACACCACCTAGGCTGTCCGCTGACAGAAGGCTCTTTGGACTCATTTAATCATGGTATTGATCAGTAGTGCCATCTTCTATCGACCTTCCCACCGCAATACCACGTTTGATGGATTGATTGGCAGCCTGAAGCAAGAGACCAATTTGTCAGGGAGCATCGGACCCTGTCAGAGAAGAACACCAATATGGGCCAGTCTTAGATGGCCTACAATCCCAGGGGTGAGGCGTCTGTTTGGTCTCCTTCTGAGGCCTGGAACCTGTGCAGAAATCCAGTTTGTTTCCTGATTCCCATATGAGTAAAGCAACCCTGAAAGCATCAGTAAGGGTTACAGTGGGTATAAAAAAAGTGTGTAGAAAATTCCCTGCTGTTAAAATGTAACTCCTAGTGAAGGTTCAACTTTTTATTAAGAATTATTAACAAATCTTTAAGAGAAAAAAACTAAGATGTGCTTAAATAAGGGATCATCTACTTGAAGCTTGGCTATGTTTAGATTTAAACAGCAGATGCCACCAAAAGCTGCCAAAGCGTGAGAGTTGTTTTTATTCTAAAAGGTATTTGTCATCAGAATGTTTTACCTATTTTATTTTTAGTTTATTTTCTGGTAGATCTACAAATGTCCATAGATTGGAGAGAGCATAATTGAATTAAAGATTTTTCATAAAAAAAATATCCCAAGAACTTGCAAATAAATTCTGCAAAAAAAATAATAATACATGGCAAAAAATAACTAAAAAAATAAAGCAACTTTGTTTTATTTCTGCCTAAAGATTAGCCATAGTCCTTAAAAAACATAAAATGTCTTAGATTGCTTAAAAATATGCATTTGAATATGTTATATGAGGGCTGAAGTCAATATGCAATTTTTTCATCTTGTACTGATATTTAATCTTTAACCGTCTGATGATCAATTACAGGTGGTTTACAGCATAATAGGTTAAGCATTTGCTCATAATACAACACTAAGCAGTATTATTGTCCTCTAAAAGATTGAACTTAGCCTTTTGAGTTGTAAAGGTTAAAAACCACATTAAATGTAGAAAGGTTCTGAGAGGATAGATTAGGATCTCATTGTTTTACATCACTAAAACCTGGCTTTCTAACAGACTTGTGCAGACTTTTTATAAATGTATGGCGCATGACAGCTGATTTTTCTAAACCTTTCTCTGTTTTATTTTAATTTTCAGTGTTATTATAAGTCAGGCGGTTGACAGTCATATAAACATGCAGGTTTTTTTTTCGTATCTGTACTACTTGAGGTAAATCTCTTAAATGGCTGCGATTCAGCTGCTGCAGAGGATGATTTGTGGCCCCAGTAATTATACCTTTCTTGTGCTGGGAGAGAAAAAAAAAAAAGTAAAAATATTGTTATTCTTAAATCCCCACTCAATGCTGGCTTAATCATCGTCTGCCTTGTCTTTAGAATAGCTGTAATTGAAACATTAGCTGTTCAGGTCTATATACGGCATGTGGGCGTCTGGTGTGCGCTCTGTGGATTAGTTTTAATCAAAAACCTCGATCGCAAGCCGATTCATCTCGTATGCACTTCACTTCATCTATTTGTTTTTCTCTTTTGGTTTCCTTGTCGTGTCCTTTTCAGTTCTCACTTGTGTATTCGCAAATGTTTTAGATGGCATTACACTCTTGTCTGTTTGAGAGCCAATAATGTGACTGAAACAAGGGCTGTGATAACATGAGATCCATTAGCCGGTGCTATCGATGCCCTTTAAGTGATCTCCACAGCCAGTGAGTCCTCTGTTCACAAGCAACGCCATGTACTCGGCGCCTTCCACCTTCAGTCCCAATCTTGGATACAGGCAACCAAGAGGAAGCATTTACTCAAATGTATTGACCGCTGTCATGAATTTTTCATTGGCTGCTCAAGGCGATGGGCTGCCAGCTTGGGTGTGTTGAGAAAATGAGGCTCCCACTCAATACCAATGACCACACACAACATCAGCCCCCCCATTCCATTTTAAAGGTTTATCTTCTTGAACCTTTTAAACACCCAAGCGATACTGTACTTTAGAGGACCCATCCACTTCTCCATACCTCTATGAATCACTCAACATTAGAGCCTAGAGCTGCCTTTTGCTCCTTTCTCCTTGGCAACAGCTTGAGCACTTACTCACTCCCTCTCCCTTGGTGTTATATGCTTTTCCAGTCTCCATCTCTTTTCCATTTAATCTATAAAGTTACCTTAAAGCAGGGTTGGAGAAACTTGTGGATTTTTATTTATTTTTTATTCTTTGCACATATTTGCCTCCACAGGAAAGGCAAGCAGACTTCAACCCTATCTGTTTATCCCCTGAGAAAACACACCTCCCAAAGCCACAGCCTACAAACCCTTCTATCGATAACGTGCTGTTTTCCAGTCAGATACACATCACAACCCACCCGTTATCAAACTCTGCAGTGCATGGTCAACTTTGAAATCTTACAATATTCAACAATTAGATTAAATGGATAGTGTACAACATTTTCCATTGTGCCAAATAATGGAATGTTCTTGCTCCCATAAGGTAATTTGTTTATTTTGTTGAAAAATTACCTTATGGGAGCTCAAAATCTTGTCTGTAAATTATTTATTAATGGATAATTTATCTAAATGCATGTGTCTTCATAAGATACAGGTCCCCTTTCAGGGTTTTATTGGGTAAAATAATGGTTTACACTAGTGTTGCACCGATACGGGGTACCAGGCTGTGCAGTATTGGTTGATACCGATACCATCTGTTTGAAATTTATGTGTGTGTGTATATATGAAGAACTGCATACTACTTTGATGTAAAATAATTGCCATTATGGCTTTGTCAAGCTGCTGCCTACCTTTGTGAAGCAGGAAAAAGACTCTTAGGAAGTGAATCCAGTTGAACTTCGAATAGGTGACAATAGTTGAATAAACTTTTGGCTCTCAAAATGGTATCGGTGCCCTATTTGTTGGTACCTGCTGACATAGATACCACCATTTTAGTGCTGGATACTGGTATCGGTGCAACACTAGTTTACACACTGGACAGGTTGCCAGCATATCACTGACCAACACTTACACACAACACTGCACTACACACATAACTATTCAGGGTTTCTGCGGGTCATTAAAAAACATTAAAAGTCATGAAATTATTATCTTTTAAATTAAGGCCTTAATTGGCATTAAAATTCATTAAATGTGATTATTGTGGCATTTATATTGCTTCATAAAATAAAAAATAAATAAAGTTATTAAAAAAAGTTTGGTCAGATATATGAGATATAACTGCTTCAGGTTGATTGTAAAGCTGTATGTACGGAGAAGAAGCTTGAGGCTGAGAAAAATATACTAAATGGAAAAATGCAAATTTCAACAGTGGCTGAAAAACGAGAAATTCGGGACATGACGACGGTAAAGTGGACGAAGGATTTTGCCATATATATATATATAATTATTTGTAAGAGCATTAAAAGAGTATTAAAAAGCATTAAATTAGAGTTACTCATTCCTGTATAATCCCTGCTATTAGAGGGCAATCAAATGGTCATATTTTTTGTAATGTAAGAGGAAGCCTGAGTACCCAGAGAGAACCCACACATACAAGGGGATAAACATGCAACTCCATGCATAAAGATCCCAGGCTGGGATTTAAACTTTTGACCCTGCTTACTGCAAGGCAAAAAAAATACTAACCACTCCATCACATGCAGCCCACTTCATCTAAATTTGAAAATATATTTCATTTGCACCACTTACACTTTAGAGTACATCCCATTAAAGCATTAATGGAAGGCAAGTTTTTGAGTGGGGCTTGTTACCAGGCGGCAATCAATTTTCCACAGGAGGTTACAGTCAAGGTCATGTGGGTTTTAAAAATCCCAAAGAAATTCTCACAGTAGCATCAAGCTAATAGCTACTTCAACTAACCGGTACTCAGTTAAAAGGTTATATAAGCTGATGGACACTCTGCTAAAACTGCTCAACCTTGAGGCTAGAATAGTTGATAGTTAAAATAACTGTGTAACCAGGCTAATAACTATTAGCTTAAGAAACCTGAAAAATGAATATACTTGAAATTAGCTGTTAGCTTTTATTATAAACGGCTGTAGGCCTGAGTTTTGTGCAATTAGGTGTTAGCATATAAAGCTTTTAGCTAAAGTATCTGTAATTATTAATTTATTTTAGCAAATTTAAGCAAACAGATGAAATGTTTGTGGCAAAAAGGTTGACTTGGGTAGCTTAGTTAAATGGTGGTCCAAATAGCTGCTAGGTTTACTAGCTACAACAGTAGGCGAGCGCAATTCCTCAATGAAGATGATATTTCACATGGAAATTAGTCTGAATGCTGTGTTTTGTAGCTAAGCATCCGTTTGCTCACAACTACGTGACACAAAAAAACCTTTAAGAGAAATGATGACCTACTTTTTGTTTTATTTAGCTTAAAAGGCATGGCAATTTTATTTGTATAGCACAATTTAGTACACAAATTAGATAATAAAATAGAAGAAAAATAAAAGCAGAGTAAAAGCAAAACACATTTGTAAAAGAAGAAAAATCAATTTGTCCACAAAAAGAAAAAAGCAATTAAAAAAAACATGATAAAGAAATCAAAACACAAATAAAAGCAAAAAAAAAAGACAAATAAAAGTTTGACAAGTGTTGCATCTGGTTCCTAACCTAAAGGCCTTTTCTGCATCTCTTTCCATGCTTCCTTTTTCTCCATTTGCTGTCTAAATACTGCCAATAATGGCAACTAGTGCCACAAAATAAAATAAAATTAAAGTTTTAACATGTTTCAGTCATAGATTTTCTTTTTTCTTGGTATAAAAAACCTTTATCATTCATAAATTTTCAAGTTGTTTATTTTTATCACAGTGTTATTTATAAGCTCGAACCTGGTGGACCCTCATACCTCCAGTGTCATGTGCCTGACTGCTATGTCTGTTTCTGTCTTCACAGGACCTGCAGGAGGTCTGGCTCCACTACCCACCGCACCCCCTGCAGGTTGGTCAAGATCTGTCTTATTATTGATGTTTACTTTGTTGCTGCTGCACCTCATTAAAATTCACCTCATCCATTTGGAGAAAATTGTCCTCTGGTAACAGAGATGCAGAGTAGTTTTTTTTTTCTTCCAATAGCTGACTCATTTTATAACTGTCAAACTGTTCTCCACCAGCTGTATTGTGCTGCTTTTGGTCAAAACTTTAATCCTCTTTTTGATTCACTCTTCTTCAGCAACATTTCACTCTTCTCCATCATCTTCGGTTTTCCCTTTCACTCTCCTCCATCTCTTCTCTGTCTCTTCAGTTTGAAGTTGCACGCTCTGCACAGAAACACTGAACATGTCAGCAGTGTTTGTTTGAAATTAGAATTTGGAAGACGAGATCAAAGATGCCATAACAGGATTACGATCCCGAATCACATGAGGTCTCCAGGGACCGCCAGGCATCTTTCTCTCTGATGTGTTTGCTGGAAGAAAGTGTTTCTTTCTGGCAGATTTGTGTTTCAATTCTGTGTGAGTGCATTTGCAGAAGTGTCTCAGCGTTTTCACATGTCTGTTTTTACATGTTTGGCCAGAAATAGCTTTGTTTGTGTACATGTTTGTTCATCCTTGCCTCCTTATCTCTTTATTTGTCACCCTCAAATGTTGAAGACTCAAAGATCCAGGGTGTTTTTGTTGAGCTTGTCAGTGCTCAGGATTAACCGAATGCAGCCAGTACTCTGATTTCCTGGTGGGCTGCACAGCACGGGCCCCCAGCAGTGGGTACATGGTTGTCGGGTGGACCCACGGGGCTCCACCCTGCTAGCCGCCACTGCTATGTGGTGCGAGGTCTGCTTCCATTAGCCACTCCAGAGCTAGAGCCTCATTACCACACACTGGATGCTGCTTCACTTTCCTCTGGGGGGTCTCCTGACAGGGGGTTATTAAATTGTTCCAACTTTACGGTAGCTTGATGGCATTCTGCCCTTTTGACTCAGACTGGTGTTTAATGCTGTTTAAAAATGTTTAAGCCATCTTTATCTTTAGTTTTTTTAATATATTTTTAAGGATCTAGAAACTTTTAGTTGTGATCCATTCTCCTTCACCTTTTTCAATTTTGCACCGATACCGGTACCAGTATCCAACACTAAAATGGTGGCATCAGTATCGGCGAGCACCAACAAATAGGACACCAATACCATTTTGAGAGCCAAAAGTTTATTCAACTATTGTCACCCATTCCAGGTAGGCAATAAAAAGTTCTACTGGATTCACTTTCTATGAGTCTTTTTCCTGCTTCACAAAGGTAGGCAGCAGCTTGACAAAACCATGATGGCAATTATTTTACATCAAAGTAGTATGCAGTTCTTCATATATACACACACATCAATTTCAACCAGCCAGGTATCGTGTATCGGGGGAAAAAATGACATTGCCGCAAAACTAGCTGTTGCTGCTGTTTTTATGTGTCATTTGTTTGGTATCCCCCCTCCACACACACACACACACACAATTTTGTTCTTATCACATATGGGGACATCTCATTGACTTGCCGTGATTTTCTATGGCCTAACCTAGACCCGTACCCTAAAGGGCTGGTTATACTCCCCGCAGCAGTATGTCTCAGTGAGCTTGTTGCAGATATTTTTGATTTATGCCCAATATTGAAGCGCTATGTTATTCCACGCCACAACGCAAGAGGGACAATCAGGAACTAGCTGTGAGTCTAGATACGGCTGAGGCGGTAAGGAAGTGGGGGCAAGTTAGTGCGACAACAGAGGGACATGAAGGTGAAAAAGAGCGGGAATCCAGATGGAAAATGGGTCCCAGTGTTCTTGTGCACCTCGTTCATCTAGCTGGTCCAACTTTAAGCGTTGTTTTCCCACAATGGCGGTCATACAAACAAAACAAGCCGATAAGGTACCAAACAGGAAATTTGTAAAGTGTAGAACGGCTGTAGCTTTGACCAATCAGAGGGCTCCTGTCTGCGGTCAGCTACAATTTAGGAGGTTTCAGCAGAGTGTCTGCAGAAGGGGCTGGGGTATATCTGCATTCACTGAAACACACACGCAGACAACCTGGTATCTGTGCATAAATCAGCCTTAACCCCAACTGCTGACTACATATACCTAACCTTAGTCCTATACCTAACTCCAAATCAAAGAACCAAACTTTACCATATTGAGGCCAGTTGAATGTCCCCATATGTAGGATATCTTAGAAAATGCTTTCTCCACATTGTAGGAAAAACAAGACCATACAAACCCACAAAGACACATCTGGTTCAATTGTTAAATTGGTCTTAAATCTAATTTGATATGGCATTAAAAAAAGTTGCCTTAAGCTGTAGGAACCCTGCTCTGGTGAGACAGCCAGGTACTTAAGTTTTTGGACCTCAAAACTTTGCCAAGAAATCTATGGAGATTTTATTGCCTGTTGAGATGAGAGCAATACTGGACTGAGCAGATAAATGGGCTTGAAATTTACACAGTTTACACAAGTCTTTTATTTCAATCAGTAAAAAGCTCTGCATCATTTTTGAAGAGCATGATTTTTATTGGAGGACACGGCTCTGTCGCATACATCAAAGCACTCCTCTGAGTTGCTAGCCTGCAGAGGCCCTAAAGAGAATATTGACACGGCCTCTTTCTTCACCCAACCCAAACCCCATTTAGAACTTTTGGGCCCTTTTTTGAAGAAGAGATGTACAGTACATTGGATGCTGCTACAGAAAGCAATGACCTTCAGCTATTTATTTGGAAACATTCAGGTCTTATTTTCACTTTAAGAAAAAAAAAAATACAGTGTATAAAAAAAACAACCATTTATTTCCAGTTTATAACCTAATTATCCCGCACTCTGATAGTATCCCAATAATTGTGTGCACACAGATGTTCACCTCAGAAAGCCAAAACCTCACTTACACTTTCTTGAAGACTTGAGTTTCATTAACCTTTTAATCAACTTTAAGCTCTGTAGGTGTTCAAGCTACGCACATGCTGTGCTTCATTGGGTAGGAAATAAAACCTGACCATTACTCAGTTGGGCTTGACAGAGCATTTGGGAATCACTCCAAACCTGATCACCTCACCCCTGCTTTCAAAGCTGGCTCTCAGTCTGCTGGACGGGGCCTGTCCAGATGCCAAAGGGCTGAAACGCTTATAAAAATTCAGTATAGCTGAAATATGCTGGCAAGAACTCTGTAATGGACCTTCATTTTCCTTGAGTATAATTTCCCCCATTGTGGCACATTAAAGGGATTTTCTATTTCCTCCAAGTGCTAAGTCAGGGCAGCATTGCAGCTTAAAGGTACAGAGGAGGCAGCATCATGTTATGGGACTTGACTGAAGAACAGTAAAGAAAAGTTATAGCATCTGAAAAAACGGTTTGTCCAAATGGACAATGATGCGTAGAATACCAACAAATAATCAATACTTTGGACAAAAGTTTGAGTCTTGGCCCCAAATAAGCCTTTAATTCACCCCCAAAGAAAATAAGTGTCAGTTCCAATCACCTAAAACATCATACATACATACAGGGAAAGAAAGAAAGAAGGCACAGAGACAATTCATTTAGTTTTACTTGCGAGGAGAGTAGGAAGAGACTGCAGACTTTACGAATCTCCAACCCACTCTGCGGTCCCAGCGTTCTATTTATTGAAATCAGTGGTCCCTGGTTACAACAGCTGAGACTGCACTAGAGAGGGGGAACAAGATAAGGAATTCAGATTTCAGTAAACATATCCTCTAAATCTCAGAGTTCAGTCAAAGTTTAAGCTGTTGAAGCTGTCCACCAAAGTTCACCAGGTTGAGTAAATCAACCACAACCTCCCCAAAAGCAAGTCCACAAATCACAGTATACTTCAGAAAAGATGGCTATGAACACATGCACATAGCACACAGCTTTATGCATTATAACACTACACAGATACATTTATATACAATTATTCTAACAATAAGAGTGGAGCCGAAAGAGACGAAGCAAGACGGCCTACAAACTTAAACCAGTTGCACCAATTCTGAGAGGGCAAGCGGGCCAAAATGTCAGAAAACTTAAGATATTGGAAAAACTATTGGAATGACATCTGAACATGGTGGAACAATGATAGCTGGTTTAAAGGGGGAATCTGATAAACATGGAGGAAAGGTAAACAACTATCCTGCAAAGGTTTCTTTCATCTTACATCAAGATAAATAATTCTTGTAATCCTAGAAGAAATAAAAGAATGTCTGCTCTGATTCGTTGTCTCATAGTAATAAAGGAGAGATTTTTTTATTCATCCATTCATCTGATGGTACCTGCTTGTCCAAATGCAGAAAGATCCTCGTCTTTGCTACAAACAGAACCCCAGCACAGCCTTTCTTTATACCCAGCGTATTTAAATACATGGTTTAAACCATAGAAATGAAACCAGTTATATCCAATCACTGATTTACCTTTGGACTAATTTGTGTGTATGAAGAAGTAAACGATTGGAGCGTATTGCACAGATTAGCTGCATCCTCCAACACTCATTAGGAAAGAGCGAGGCTTATCTTTTTTTATGAGCCTTGAAAGCTCCCAAAGTTAGAATATGAAGCCCAAAAATTGTTGCTGAAAGGTAACAAGGTGTAACCTAATTTCCTTCCCCACCAAGACGGGGAGGAAGAAGTGAAAGAGGAGCTGCCCTGATGAGCTTTGAGCTGACGGCAGTGGCAGCTCGCCACGGCATGTGTAATTACGCGTGCACAGATTTTTGGCATGCGTTGGGCCTGCCACCGACTCGCCCTGCAGAGGGATGTGGAACGCCTTGCGGTTTACAGGCACTTCTTCATGTTTTCACTTAACCCCCCCTCACCATCACCATCAACCAACACATTCACACACACAAGCTCTCCAGAATAATTTAGCAGAACGTCATTTATGCTGAGTGTGGATTACAGCGTTTCTCCTTCAGTTTATCAGGGGGGTACACGAGCGTCAAGCTTGTTGGTGCCTCGCCTCTGATTCTGCCTTCGTTTTGGACTCGGCTGAAAGTGATGCTTTGAAGGCATTTCAAACGCTTTTTTTTTTCATATATGTATTTATTTATTTCTTCATGGCTTCTGTTGATTCCTCCCTTTCTCTCTTCACTTTGTTTGAAGCCTTGCTGCCGGCCATTCCCCCTGAAGGACAGATAGATCCTGTGAGTGCTGAACCCCTCAGATGTTGTTTGTTGTTATCCATGACATTTAAACGCCGTACGCTAATTAACACAGGGAATTCTTTATATATATATTTTTTTTTTTACAAAAAAATGGATGAATGAAATGCCTCTCCGTACATGTCGGAAGATGGAAGCATGACATTACCGGCAGCGCTCCAATTAAAACACTCTGTTTAAAAATACATCTCTGCTCTGCTCTCCGGCTTGACATGGGAGGCTTTGAAAAATGATGCTTCAAGAGAGTAGAGACAAAAAGAAATGTTGGGGAAAATAAAGGAAAGCGGTCACCTTCTTCCAAAGAACCTTGATCTTGTTTGTTTTTGGAGACAAAAAAAAAAAACAGGAATCAGACTGATGAGGTCAAATAAGCATTGTCTTTCTTCTGGAAAATATGTTTTTGTCTAACTGCACCACAAAGATGATCCCGGCAGTTGATTACTGCCCCCAAAAGTATACTGATTTAACATGCTTATTTTCATTTTATCACACATTTTTTAACCTTTAGGGTTACCCTTTCCGCCTCTAATGAGCAAAGTCATGAGCAAATATTGTTGGCAAAGAGAGCAAAAGGCCTTCTACCTTCAAAGCTTAATCTGCTGCATCTGATCACGGTATTCTTTCAGGACTCATCAAAGTAACCGTGTTGTTCGTCTCTGACCCAGCAAGCTTCATAAACAGGCAAACTGACTGGCTGTATGGCTGAGTCACCAGATATGTTAATTGAATGTATAAAACAGCAGATTTAGATTGGGGGTAAAAAAAGGGAGCTGTTTGACTTAAAAGTTAATGACTAAGAGACTCCATCTGCTGCAGATCATCTCCAGTTTGTTTTGAGGTGGGGTTAAAATACACACACTAAACAGGCCCCGAGGCAGAACAAACTGTGGAGCTTCTCATTTCCCTGACTTCCAGGCTGAGCATCTTCATGAAACCCGCTGGGGGTTTATTTGTACAGTGAGCTCAGCAGTTTTCACTCCGACCATTTGTGTATAAGCACTGGGGGGAGATTGGGCAAGAGTTTAATAAGATGAAACCCATTTTTTTATCTTTATCTTTCGCCTGTCAGTTCTTGGGTCAAAGGGGCCTCTGTCTAACCTGACTCCGCCAGATGGATTTGCTCCGCATATCCATCTGGAAACCTTCCATTAAGGAAATTTTGGGAAGGGGCAAAAATACTGGTTAGCTGATTGGCCTATGTTGGTGATAGACGAGCCAAATAAACCAATCAGATCAACGAAGCATATGACGTACTAACAGCCAGGCTACTCTTGCCGAAACCAGTCGGGAGAAGAGCAAAAATATCTTTTCCTCTGAGAAAAGCCTCCAGAGCAGTGTTTTGCTCTTCTTTCAGTGAAAAAATACTCTGTAATTCCGATAAAACTTGCTCGATAGCCACGCTAACGCTAGTTTCATCGGCTGAAGCCGCCATGTTCTTTAGACTGAACTTTCGCGCTTCTCGTTGCGTCACACCTAAACCCGCCTCAAAGCCAACTCTGATTGGACGTTCGTTTTGTGAACGGCTCCAAATTTTCTTCAAAGGAGAGTCTCCAGACTGATTAGCGAGCGAAATCTTGAAAGCTCGTGAGATCAGGATGGTCTCATGAGGCTAACGTCTGTCTGCATTGCCAAGCAAACACATCTGTGTGAAAAGTGTTGTACTGTACCATCCATTCAACCCTTCATTTAATCCCTGATATCTAATATTTTTTATCCATCTAGGGCTGATTGATAAAGTTGATTTAAATGATGAACCAAACTTTCTGTCTATGAAGATTCAAATTTTGGAAAAACTGCATTTTTTTCGCCAATGCACTTCTTTTGCTTCTGTTATTCAGAATGACATCAGTTGTTCGCTATTTCTTCTTAGAGGTCTACTCATAACGGATGAACCAGCTCGCTGTGTAATAACACAAGCTGCAAACATTTAGCATATCTTCATAGAAATGCAAGAAATGTCGACTCATTTTAGAAGAATGTCTCTCAGCTTTGATTTCAGGTCACTTTGAATGGAGCGGATCTTTGAAATAAAGTAATTTCTGTCATTGGTCTTTTTTTTATTTTTTATTGAAGGAACATGGGGGGGGAAGATTAATTATATTTGGTATAAACAAAATTTGAGCTTTTATTTTTAATCATACAGCCCAGCCCTGCATCCCTCCATCCATCCGTTTTGGTTAGATGGTTTTAACTGGTCCAATGGAAAGCAGGCAGTTCAATCTCTACAGAAACTGATACTTGATCTCAGACTCAGAGGATCTAACTGTTAATCTTCTTTCAGAGAGCCATAATGTCCAGATGAGCGTCAAATTTAGCATTGTTGTACATTTAGATGTATTTTCTATCTGTCTCACCGCTGATCCTTAAATAACAAATAAGGAAATGCTTTTATGAAAATGTTGCATGCAGCTTTAGGAGCTCAGAACTTGCCAAAGCTGTTTGTCTCCTCTAAAGTGATCTTCTTACCTGCTTTGCTGAGTTGATGTTCAGCTAAAACTTTGAAGTTTTTGCTGTTTTCAATCCTTTATGTGCCCGTTTTTTGTTTCACGTCCTGTTTTCTCTCCATGCAGGTGCAGGAACCTCAGAGTGATCGGCAGCTGATTGAAACGTCTCCCGTTCTTCAGAAACTGACCAGCTTTGAGGATTCCATTGGGGTTTTGTTCACACATGTTCGCCTGTTAGCCAGAGCATTTACCTTGAGGACTGTCGGCTTCAACCACCTCACCCTGTGAGTACACTTGATGCTTGTAGAATAATGACAAAATGTCGTTGACACCAAGAACGTTCTTTTGGTTTGCTTGTTTGGCTCAGACCCAAACAGACTTTATAGTTTTGTTTTGCTTATCTGTGCTTCTATTAACTGCAAAGTCAGTGTGTGCAGCTTATTTAGTGCATGTTTCTGTTTTTGCATCACACGCTCGGCTCGTCTGGAGCTGTATTTCACCTCCTATCATTAATACTCTTCAGATAATATTAAATTCTTACTTTTTTTCATTTATTGCTGGAATAATAATTAACACAGTCAGATAAACGCAAATCAAATAAATTTTTTTGCCAAATAAAATAAAAAACACACGGGTAGGCGGAGCGAGGGCTGCTGCAGACGGGCTGAGATTAGCCCTGGCTGCCATTACCCTCTGAGGTCCGCTGGTTGCCGCTGCCCTCTTAACTTTGAGAATTTTTTTTAAATTACACATTTAATCAGTAAATGGGCCATATAGTGACGGTTAAAAGTATAAAGTTCTCACCTCAAATGATCTTAAAACGTACTTTTATAGAACAACGGCAACAGAAAAGAGAACTTTTAATTTATTACTGTCAACTCTGTAAGCGCTCAATTTAAAGCTGTTGCTGCCGCAGTGCATGCTGGGACAGCTGTCAATCTTAAGAACGGACAAGTCTGCTCTGAAGCATGCTGGGTAAATAGGGAGGGGCAAGCACAACATCCAGCGACTTTGTCCATTCTCGGTCTGCTGTTCTTGTGAATTGGAACAGTGGTAGAGCTAAGGCTGATGACGTTGAGCACATAAGAACGCACAAGTACACATACTAAGACACGGCCGTGATTTCATTACTACATTCACTGCTGCTGGGCCTTGTTGGAACAAAGCCGGTCCTAGTTCGACTGGAAGGGGACTAAGACCATCATCAAAAGTGGATCTACAGTAGTAGCCATTCAAAATTTCCCCACTTTGTTTGATGGGTCCTTGGCTGGTCCCCTACAATTCCTTTTTAAACATCAATCTTTGTCATAAAATATTCTTTCTTTCATGCTTTGTGGACATTAAGATCTAAAGAGAAGCACCATCTCCTGGTCAGACCCTATAATACAGTGAAAGGGTGGAGTCAGAGTAATAAATATGCAAGAGGTTTTCTTATTTTAAATGTAAATTGTCTTGTTTCATTGGCAAAATGTCTCTTACCTCCTCAATTCAAGAACAAATTTACTTTTTTTAAGAAAAAATGGCTTATCTAGATTTTGATATTTTCCAGTGTATAAAATGCTTCTAACCTCAATAGACGCACCAAAGAGCTATGGTAGCAGTGTTTTTGTTTTTATTTCTCCCTCATGCTCATAAATCAACAATAATTGGGCCTTGACATAAGAAGAACGCTTTTGGTAAACTGTTTTTTTCCTAATATGTTTCAAGAGAATTAAATGCTTTGGTTGGACAGAAATGACAGAGCAAAATAAACGTGCCATCAGTGACTGCAGATGCTAATATACATAACCAGTGATTGGTCACTTTCCTTTTTTTCTTTTTGTGAGTCTCAAGCTGAATGGTTTGGGACGTTCTGTCGCTTCCTGCAGGTTCACTTTCTTTCCACGACATTTCCGTCTCTCTTCCAAAGAGGTTTTGGAGTTCCCCAGCTAAAGCGCTCCCATGAACAAACTCCTCCACCTAAAATGGATTTCCAGACCTCTCTCAGTCGCCATAGGCCTTTGTGCTCCCTCTGATTAATGCCCTGCATGCTCTGGTTTCATTTTTCTGTCAGTTATCTGTGATAAAAATGTGACTAAAGGTGAACATGTCTAAAGGGGTGAGGATTATTTTGCAGCGTACCCTTGCTCTGTATAATAGGGGACATCTTGAACACCGTGTTAGGTGAAAGATGGTTTGCCTTCTATGTTTTTCTGGCAGCGGGCCTGATCTGAGTGTTTCCATCCAAGAGAGGAAAGAAAGTCACAAGAGACTGTTAAGCACCCATATCTGTATTCTGCCTGTAACTGCAGGGCCGTAACCCCACTGCCCCATGGGAAATGTGGTTTTGATTCAGTGGATTGTCCTGGACTGAAGGTTTTCTCTTTCATTTATTTCAGCCACATCTCCCATTTGTCAGATTTTCTCTCATTCCTCTCCTCCCTCCTTCTTTTCCTCTTGCTGTCGTGCTTCAGTCCACCTAGTGATTTCTTGGAGTCCTGCTTAAATCATTCTTTTTGATGCAGATTTAATTAAGGCTGGCTTCACTATACATCCTCCATGCGTGCTGTGCTCAGAGAGAGATACACATGTGGTTTCTGGTCTGTTTTCTCTGTTAATTGCGGCGTCTCGCAGCAGTGCTACATCTTCTCTGACTTTGAAAGTAGTTTTTTTTTTCTTTTTTTTTCCCACGCCATGACGTTTATTCAATAGTCGGGGAAAAGTTGCAAACTTTCTATAGGGATGGTTTGAAATTGATCGCAGAGAGCGTTTGGATCTGTCGGTAACAAACACGCTGTTGTTGTGTGGCTGTCCTCATTTATTCACACAATGCAATTTTAAAAATACTGCAATTTTCATTAACCCGCCTCTCGGCTAATGAGGCTGTTCTCTCCAGCTTCAGCTTTTTATTTTTAATTTTTTTTTCTCATCTAGACTTCCAGGGGCTTATTTGCAATTGAAGCTTAGCTTACTTTTGAGCTTTATGGCTCTACACAATAGTGGGTTTGACAGCTAAAGCAAATTAGGCTTGGCAGCACACGTTTGATATCTTATTGGCAGGTTGCGCTCTGTAATTGCTTGCTTAGGTTTGCCACAAGGACACTTCTCGGTGTGTTAGTGTGCACCGTCTGCACACTTCCCACACACACAGACCTGAGAATGCTCTAATCCATCACTTAAATGTCAAACCTCTCTCCACTCGGGGTCAGTGGAGTTGATTAGAGGTCCAGAGCTTTGTCTCCTACTGAGCTTTACTTTGAGGACTTTCCAACTCAAGGTTGAAAACGATATTTTCCAACTCGATGAAAGCGAGGTGGAGGTTGAAACTTGTTTAGCTAAATTTCAATACTTTTCCAGCAGCAAAATGAAGGGGGAAAAATTGATATATTTCTGGTTAATTTATATCCGTTGGCTCATTAGTAGCCAAACGCAGGTTGACCTAAATAGAGTCGACCAACTTGATGGTGTGAGCTGAGCTATGGCTGCCCATGAGGACCAAAGGTCAGACTGAAGTAGGTCACGTTGTCATGATAGAGTGGAGAACGAGGTCAGACGATAAGGAAGATGGGGCAGCAGTTGGCCTTTGACCTTTCACTTTGAGAAGGGATAGAGGACAAATTGACCTAGATGATGAAGAAGATTCGGGGCGTAAAAGATAAGAAGTTATGGAGAGACGGAGGGTTCTGTCTGCTAACAGAAGCATTCAACTCTACAGTTGTCCTTTATTGCTCGGTACTTTTCTTTCATGCAGCCTTCAGTTCTAATCTTTTTATGTGGTCTGAATGAGATTTTCTCTGGACTTTTTCCAACATGATTAGAAAAAAAACGGGTTATTTTGACAGAGTCTCAGTTGTTCATTGAAGCAATGAATAAGCCTGCTCTGGGGATGGATGTAAAGCACAGGTGCATCTCATTAGGTGAGGATTATCACGAAAGAATTAGTTATTTTTTTTTTTGAGAAATCTTTTCTGAAAGTGAAACTAATTTATTTCCCAGATATTCTTGTACTTTATTCAGGGCTCGATGTTAATCATTGCCCGATCGCCCGGGGCAACTAGTTTTTATTGTCGGGAGGGTACAGATTTCATTGCACTTGCCCGGCGGGCAAATGCAATGATCGCAAAAAAAAAATTATTTATCACTCAAAATTACTTTAAAATCACAGACATTTGCTGAAAACAACCCACAAGCGTTGCCGGCGCCATTTTTGTTGTTTTGTACACATTCTCGCGTGATTTGAAAAAGCCGAGTGATTTTCCGCTAGATTCCAAGCAAACAACAGTTTATAGCAAAGTTTAGTTTGAAAAGAAGGTGCAGGAAGGCTTGAAAAGCATGTTAACACGGTAATGTAGGCATGAGTTCATTATCTGACGCATGCATATACACACCAGGAACCTGCAAACTTACTGAATTACAAAAAAAAATTTTTAAAAACAAACATGTTTCATTGATATATATACAAAAATTAAGATTAGGAACTATATTTATCAAACATTATACTGGGCAAGTAAAAATTGTTTCTGGGCAAATGAAATGTGAAAGCCACTTGCCCAAAGGTCTTAACGTGAACCCCTGTTCTGGGTCTCATTCAGTCATTGTGGCGAACAGAGAATCAACACTCAGTTTATTTAAAAGATGAAAAATATGAGAATAATTTTGGTACAGAAACTTTGGCCCTCTACAATGTATGATGTACCATCTACTATCTGCACTCAGTATTTAGTCGGTGCTTGTTTTTTATATAAATGTGGTATGACATGGACCTGGATTCTGCTGAGGTATTGTGGAAGCCCAAGTTGCTTTGTTAGCCACCTTCAGGCCATTTGGATCGTTTGGTCTGGTTTCTCTCATCGTCCTCTTGACAAAACTCCATTGATCTAAATGGACCGGTTTGATTATTGATGCAGGGAGTCATACTTTTACCAATCTTGTCATATGCCTACTAATGCACTATGCCCAGGAAAAACTTCTTTCAAAATAACCTGAAGAATATTTAGATCTACATTATTCCATATTTTTTCCTATAATAAAGTCAATTGATTGAGTCTATTGATCTTATGATATATTAAACTTTTCTATGAAATGAAATATATTTCTTATTCCTTTTCTGGAATGGACTGGTATATATTTCATTTTTAGTGTTAATTAAAAATTTTACTTTTTATTAGTTTTAATATTTTTAAGTAATGTTCTACACATTGAAAATGTTCACAGAATAGTATAGGAGAATCTCTTCTTTCTCATAACTAATTCAAAAGGTTGTAGTTTATCCTGGAATATTTTCTATATTGATGCTGCTTTAGGC